TGGCTCTCTGGAAAGGATCAGTCCTGATAGGTTTCAGCTGCTTCTTCACCCAGAGAACTGAACACTAACATAAATTTTAGCCTGAACATTTCTGCTTTCTCTCTCTGATCACTGACACTTTCATTGTCACCCATCTTCCTCCGATGAATCAAGATCAGTCAAGGTTGAAGAATGGAGTAAAGATGAATGTCTGGTCAGCTGTGTGACCAGAAGGACTGGAGCCTGGACTCCATTTAAGGGCTGACTGACACTGAGGAAGGATCTGTCTTTCGAGATTTCTCCTCCTGGAGTTTTTCCTGTGAGCCCAGGACACAGATAAGCTTTTCCATTCATTTCTGATGATCCCTTTCCAACATGATAATCTTTTCAGCTATATGCTCTCTAAAGACCAGCCTAGGTTCTCTGTATACTTGTCAATTCAACATCTGTATACTGGTTGATTACACACCTTTGACCTAAGCTCAAATCTGCAAAATGCAAGTTCACCAAGAAAGACAGTACAGCTAAGACATATGGTTGACTGTTTATATATCATAAGGAGGGCCTCATGGGACAGAAATCATCTTCAGTTGCTGGAAAAAAACGACTTGTGTAAACAGATCTCTCTCATGATAGGAAATCTCAGTGAGAAAGGTATGTGTCAACACAGATGTTCTAATAGTTAGCTGTTAACAATATGCCCCAACAAATACTTTGCTTGCTCTTTGGATGAATTTCCTTTGGAACTACCAGACACAGTAACTGCTGATTTGATAACTTGATTTTTGTTACATATTCATTGCTCTCATTGTTGGTGCTTCAAATCCACATGAGTGATCAGAAAAGGAAAGGATGGGTGAGTTCCTCACCTGCGCTGTGTCTTCTACTCCACCAGAATCAGGTGGCTGGGAGAGAAATACCAGTAGGTGCTATTAACCATCAGGTAACTCATCCTTAAACTCAACAGCGAAGATGTTGCATGCAGGAGAACATCCAGCTGCACTTTGTCAGCAACAAGAAGACAATGACAGAGGAAGAAAATCACTCTGTATCTGTTTTTTTTTAATATTCTTTCTCATGCACTTGCTATTGGCTCTTGCAGGAAGAAGCCCACCAGCATATTATTTGTCAGCCTTTTTTTTTTCTTTTAAGAATTTAGCCTATTCATACAACTACACTAAATTATTTGCACAAATAATAAAATTGGGCTTGCACAGCAGTGAGTTTGTTCATCAACATTGCTCTCAGCAAACTGGTGAGGGTGTTTTGATGTAAGAGCAAAGTTTGCAATGCCCAGTGTGAGTAACATCGCTGGTGTTTATGGACTGCTGGCAGGAAATAATGAATCCCGCTTGAACAAGAGAGACTGTGTACAGGAATCTCCTACATCTAAATCTGAACATGTTTTAGCACAGTGAATGTCATGATGTGTAATAACTACCTCTTGAATTTTTATATGATGAGAATCCTTCCTTGCTCTGTAGCAGTGTGTCACCATGCTTATTATGGCACCCTAAAGGTGTGCAGATTTTCATTCTCCCTTCACCAACATGGCTAAACTCAGTCATCATTTCAATGTGAGCAAGCAATAGAGTTGGGAAGTATTTTCAGTTCCCAACTTGCTTGATTGCTAGCAGTTATTCTAGAGATACTCTATGCCAATATATTTCCCAGACCTCTTGGTATACGGAATATATTTAATAAATAAAACATATAGCTATTTCATTGCTATCTTCCAGAAACAGATGAGTAGTGTCTACCTAGTGGGATGTTCTCCAAGCTTTACTGAGCAGCTGTACAACATGCAGCCATTTGAAGGATTTTTCCATGATTATGAAAGCAAACTAGCGAACTCTGAATTAGACTAGGCAGCCTCAATTATATAACTTGTTACTACTTCCAAGTGTAGTTAGTGGAAAGAACAGGAGTTGAAAAGTAATGGATGACGGGAGATAAATTGGCATGGTTATGAATCAATGTTTAAACAAAGGAACTCAAACACTTTCTTGGAATAGCAACATTTTGATGTTTCAAATCCCCTGACACTGGTTTCATAAATGCAGTAATGTAAACCATGTGTTGGGTGGTGATTTTGTGAGGACCTTCCCGCTTTCATTGTGTATTTTATTACAGGCTAAATGTGACATTAAATGCTATCTACCATGGCTTAGAGTTAAATACTTGCTCTGTTCAGAATATCAACACTCAATTAAACAGCATTTTTCATGATCTACTCCCTCTATTGTCACTGTGTTTAAGGGAAATAATGGGAGCACTGACCTACATTGCGTTTCTTATTATCGATGGAGATGAAGCGTATGCAGGGATTATCGGTGATGTACTTTGCAGCCCAGGGGACATCAATCCGTGCACCGACTTCATAAAAAAGTCCCAGAGCATAGCGGGAGGAGTAGCTTGCTGATTCCAGTTGCTGCTTTTGCCTTTCATTAATTACTGTGGGGGAAAAAAAAATGCAAAAAAACTGAGACAATTCAGACTGTCCTTTTTCTCTCAGAACATTAAATGCACGAATTCTGTGGTTAAGCTGATTACTCCTTCCTGAAAACAACCAGACTGCTAAAACTAAGAATCTAATACTAACCCTAGTGCTTTGTAATATTTTTCTGGGACACCTCTTCATGAAGTCTTAATGGCACATTATGCAGAGTACGTCCTTCATGTGCAACCCTCCCCATCTGTGGGTTGTTTATCTTCTAGATAACGTTGCGAGACTTTGATGCCAGCTGACCTCTTCCCAAACATTTTCTCTGAAGGTGAACAAGTATTTCTTGGTAGGAATAAAACGTGTCAGTTTGCCCCAACAGATAAAGTGAACGATCACATGACTTTGCAAAAAGAACCCAACAAATGACTTCATATATTAAAAAAAACAAAACAAAACAAAACAAAAACAAACAAACAAACAAACAAACAAAAAACCAACAAACACAGGAACTCTTGAACTTCTGGGAGAAATAGCCACATAGACCCTCCAGTGTCTGAACTGCAATTCAAATAGACATAAAAAACACCACGGCATTTCACTTCAGCGCTATGTTTTTGGGTTGTACTGAAATAGCCAGACTACTAGCACATTTGTGATTGAAAGCAAAGAAGAACTTATCCTAAATATTTTTTAGCACAGCATGAGAGGGGACAACCTGAGAAATTCTCAGAAAGGAGAAGGTTCCACAAAGAGTTTGTAGTGAAGTTCAATAACTTTAGCTGAAGGCATTTTATGGCAGGTTAGAACATTTCAGAGCAACTGTGAATCCACTTCTCCCTGTGATTAATTCTGTCTTCCAATTGCTTCCCATTAACATCTGCTTTTTGCTTCAGTTTTCCAGTCTTCACAAAATGCTGCCCAAAGTAGTTCAGCCTGGGATAGACAAGCCCCACGCATGAAGCCTGGTTTGCCCGCATGCCTTGCCCACTCCACAGCCACTTCCATATGACAACATTAGCATGCATCAAATTACGACTGGCCTTGCTGTCGTGGCTAACATTGCTCCTCAAAACATCCAAAACAGGAAGGCTTCACCACATGCTACACCAGCATGTGTTCTCTCTTTGGGAACAGATATTTCCTGCTGTGCCAGTGTGATAGTCCAGTACCCAAGCTATAAATCAAACCTCCTTGCTTGGTCCAGTATCAAGGGACTCTTGAGTCCTGATTCAGCCATGCTAGCAGAACATTTTACTGCATTACTGCAGGACACACAGCTGACAGCATATTCAATCACATTGAGAAGTCCTTGCAAAAACTGCCATGGAACTCAGAGCCTACTGGTCAGCAAAAAGATCCATTCCCACTGCTGCTGGTGTGCTCACCTCTCACAAGCATTAAGGCTGCTCACGTCTGGATTCTATTTAATACTATAAAAGACATGTCAGGGCTCTGGCTGCCATTTCAGCATGCAGCAACTGTATGTATACTAGTGAATGAAAAGTGCCAGAGAGGATTCTTCAGCGCAGGACCTGGTGGCAAACTCAAGGGAACATTCACCTCACAGTGGAATGGCCGCTTTCCAGACTGAGGTCAGCATATCCCCTGGTCTTGCCCAGCCTACATCATTTGCTCAAAAGAAGCTTACCCCAGCAGAAATATTGTGAGGGCCTTCACACATCCAGGATGGGGGACATATAATCTGTGTTAAGCACTGGAGGAGGAATCTTTGAGCTCCATAAACTGCTCTATGCACAGAGAAGCCCAGAAGAGACCATGAGCACACTAAAAAGCTTTACATGCAGAAGACAACAAGTAGGTAATGGCACCATTCCTGTGCCCACCCAGAACTGCTGTCAGCTTCCAGATGTGACATCAGAGGGCTGTTCTAACTCAGGTTCCTGGCTGTTTTCCCCCACTTCATCACAGCTTCTGCATCTACATCAGCTTTACCTAATCACCAGCACACCAGAACACTGGAAGTCAGATGTTATCCCAAATCTCTTCTGTAATAAACCTTGAAATGCACCCCCCTAAAAGGCCCAGAGATTTAAATTATTTTAGTATAAATACTTCTGGAGACAGAGAAATATGAGGGGCAGATAAAAGCAACAATCAACTTGTGAACACTGGTGTCACATTCCATAAGGGGTAACCAGATTCTTGTTAGTCCTTTACAGCTGGAGAGGGGAAAGGAGGAGAAATAAAGGATTTGGCACTGGAGATGGTAGTAATGTGGCAAGAGGAAGACAAAGGACAAGAGACAGGACTGGATGAGCAAAATGTACTCTTAATAAGCTTCCTTTCTCTCTCCTGTTTAATTTCCCCTCTGTGAAGTTGTGGGGACACCTGCTCCTGGACCTGTATCTTTTTAAGGAGGATCTGTTCTACCTCCTTTGGTAAATGTAAAAGGAAAACTGGCTTCAACAGATGAAGGCTGAGTTGGACTACCCGATGATAAGAAATTGGTTGAAAGATCACAGTCAGAGGGTGGTGATTAATGTTCAGGTGGAGGCTGGTAATGAGCGGTGTTCCCCAGGGCTCTGTCTTGGGACTGGTGCTCTTTAACATCTTTATCAGTGACACTGACGATGGAATCAAGTGCACCCTCAGAAAGTTTGCTGATGACACCAAGCTAAGTGGTGTGGTCGACACAGTGGAAGGAAGGAAGGGATGCCATTCAGAGGGACCTCAACAGGCTTGAAAGGTGGGCCCAGGTGAACTTGATGAGGTTCAATGCGGCAAAGTGCAGAGTTCTGCACTTGGGCTGGAGGAATCCCAGGCATCCATACAGACTGGAAGAAGCAGTCCTTGAGAGCAGCCCTCCAGAGAAGGACCTGGGGGTCCTGACGAAAAACTTAACATGAGCCAGCAGTGTGCTCTTGCAGCTTGGAAAGCAAACGGTATCCTGGGCTCCATCAGAAAAAGAGTGGCCAGCAGGGACAGGGAGGTGATTTTCCCCCTCTACTCTGCTTTTGTGAGGCCCCATCTGCAGTACTGTGCCCAAGTCTGAAGCCCCCAGGACATGAAAGACAGAGAGCTGTTGGAGAGGGTCCAGAGGAGAGCTACAAAGATTATCAGAGGGCTGCAGCACCTCCCCTACAAAGACAGGCTGAGGGAGCTGGGCTTGTTCAGCCTGGAGAAAAGAAGGCTGCAGGGTGACCTCATTGCAGCCTTTCAGGACCTAAAGGGAGCCTACAAACAGGAAGGGAATCAACTCTTTGAAAGGGTAGATAACAGCAGGACAAGGGGAAATGGTTTTAAGTTGAAGGAGGGAAGATTCAGGTCAGATGCCAGGGGGAAGTTCTTTACAGAAAAAGTGGTGAGGTGCTGGAACAGCTGCCCAGAGAGGCTGTGGATAACCCGTTCATCCCTGGAGGTGCTCAGATGGACGGGGCCCTGGGCAGCCTGGTCTAGTATTACATGTGGAGGTTAGCAGCCCTGCATGTGGCAGGGAAGTTGGAGATTCATGATCCTTGAGGTCCCTTCCAACCCAAGCCACTCTGTGATTCTGTGATCCGTTCCTCCTCATGGATTTCAGAAAGTGCTGTAAGTATTGGGTCAAAGACCCCTTGGTGCCTGTGGTCAACTTCCCTTGGCAAAGCTGCCTTCACCTAAATTATGGTGTAGTATCCCATTCATCTTACCATTGGTTTGTGTCCAAGACCCAGTAATGGTGATGCAAGAGCTGCTCTTCAAAGCCATTTCTTCTCACTTGACCCAAAGCATGTCCTGGTTGAGGAACCAGGCGACTCCCATCAGTGTCAAGAAGGGGATTAGGCACACACATGGGGCTTGCTGGAGAACTGCCCCAGAGAAAAGGATGCCAACATGATGGGACCTTGAGCACCCCACCTAACGGGAAACATTCCCCACTCTCCTCTCAAGCTGTGAATTTAACAGTACAGGCCCTCAGTGTCAGCATCTACGAGCTGTCTTGGAGATCCTTCCATGCCTACTCCAAACAGCGATGTTATCAACTTCAGTAACACTCTGTGCCAATTTCCAAATATAGATCACACAATGTGTGATGAGACAGATGTGTCTCGAAATTCCCATTCTCACACTTCTCTCTCTCCAGCCAGCATGAGAACACAGCCTTGCTGTCTGCCCTTGGGTGTCACTTCATCCAGGTAAGGACTATGAACAGTGCAATTCTGAGGAGTCTGTCACCACTGGGCCCCTTTCATTATAAGTAGTCACAATGTATTTACATATATTTGCTGTGCTTCAAAAGAAAATTAAAATCCTATGAATGAGCAAATAAATATAAAGCTGTAATATCCCATCTAAACCATCACTTTTTGTCTGGCAATTATTTCTCCTGGAGGGAAGAAAATGAACAAAACCTCTTTCAACCCAAGAAGCAAATTCCCCCAGCAGAGCTTAGCACAAAGAAAACTTCGTGTTCTGCGAATATCTGAGATTGGTAAAAATTGCAGCGGTGTTCGGGCTGCATGGCTTGCTCTATATCCCACCTCTGGTCTGTGTAAGATCATACCTGCCGAGTGACATTTGCTTGTTTATTGTGTGGAGTGCTTCAGTGGGTACAACCTTCACAAGCTCAGTATTGCCAGCCAGCTGGCTCTAAGCACCTCGTTTAAGACTTGACATTGCTTTACAGACCTGTCTTCACAGGCTGTAAAGTTGCAGAAGGTGTTTTGGGGTTGTTGGGGGGTGGATGCTGAAGAGTAGCGCTGTCACCAAGGTAAAGTTACAGTTCTATAGACAGTCGTTAAGCCCATACCTACATATGGAGCCTGGAAGGACGATGCTGGCAGAAAGATGAACAAGAGGTGCCTAGGTTTTTGAAAAAGTATGCCTGTAGTTCATGAGAATCTAAACTGTTGCAAATTTAAAAGGCAGAGGAAGATTAGATTGTTTGAGATGACAATAAAGCGATATCATGGTCAAAATCTACCAGCAAAACTGACAACCAAAAACCTGAATGATATGCAAGACCAATGCTACAGGTTTTAAGGCTGATGTTTCATTCTTTTTATGTTTCAAAAAGGGCAAGTTGATCTAAGGACACGAACAGAGCCTTCACTCTCAATTTCCATGCTTTGATTGATTTAAATGAAAACCAGACTGTTGCTTTAATGTTGTGTATGAAACCATAAAATAATTTTTAATTTTTCCCATTCCAACAAAACTGGTTAAGATGATTTTAATAACATTTTGGGGGGGGGGGGGGGGGGGGGAAACAAACCAAACAGCTTTCAGAACACAGAATTATCCAGCATACAAAAGCCAACCACAGTGATATTTTTAAAGCAATGCACAAAGACACAAAAATCATACAGTTTCCACTGAAAAACTCAGTACAGTTGCACTGGGAACACCACTGAAGTAAGCGTCCTCTGGAGATTCCATCACATCAAAGCAAGGGATATGTATACTTTATTTGCTGTTTCTCCAGACACTGACAGCAGAGTGGATTACTTATCTTTCACACCCCATAAATACAGCCAGGGTCTTTTATCTGCTGTTCCAGGACTTTACTGTCACCTCGCTGCCTCACTCACGCTGTGGGAAGGAGAGGACCTAGAGATCCCCTTTGGCCAACATGAGGAGAGCTTTCAGCTGGCAAGCAGGGAGTACAGGCACTGCACCACACAGGAGTTCAGCACTAAGCCTCACCAGCAAGCAGAGGAAGGGTTGAAAAGTGCACCTTAATCTGCAGAAGAAAGGAAACACCTGAACCATTCACCAGCAGGGACTCTGGTGAGGACTGGACTCACAACTGCACTTTTGAGCAAGCAGAGATAGGAAAGGAACAACGGGAGGCCAAAGGATTCAGGTCAGTTCAAAGTTTTGCGCACCTGTTGCTGTAGGTCACAGCTGCTGAGAATAGGGCAAACCACAGGGAAAAGAAGATCGTAAAATGTAAGATGCAGTTAAAAAACTGTTTTGGAATGTTTTACTATTCCTAATTCAGTACTTCTAAAAGCCAGCGTGTTCTTTTCTCCCCATGAAGTCCCCACGTGGTTCTAGAGCTCAGCTGGGATACTTGTACTGAGCTCTTGTGGGATAAGTGCACAGGGAAGTGCAGACAAACTTTGGTACATCTTTAGCTTTAGTGGGAATGCTTTTAGAGCCTATGTTCAGCTTTACGACCTTCCAGGACTATCCTCCCAGTTCAGTGTCACCCCTGCTCCACGTAGGCCTGCTTTCTGCACTTCCTTAAGCCATTCGTAGCAAGCAGGTCAGACAATGAGAAATGGAAACAGCCTGACAGCTAATGTGATTTGTGTAATGGGATGAAACAGCCTCCAGTATCCATCCTCAGGGATTACAGGAGGAAGGCTGCCCTTTATCCCCCTCTGTTTGAGTTTCAGCAACAAAAATTTTGGATGAAGCTTTGTCAGCAAATGTGCCTCGGCACCGATTCCCACTTCAAAGTATTTGCCAAGAAAATGTTCCCTGCTCTCCTGAAAGGTCAACATCAGGGATGGATAACAAGATGTCTCTACACCCAGGAGGAATCTGGCCATCTTTTCCAAATTTGGTAGGCACTGAATGTTTTGCAGCAGATGAATTAAAACTTTTTACATCACAAGGACCCCTGGGATATCCTAATGCTGCTCAACTTGCTCCTTGAGTAGAAAGGCTTTCCGTTCTTCCACACATTATTTTTGAAGTCATACACTCTTCTCACTTCAATAAGCTCGCAATTGATGCTATCCTCATAAGATTTTGTTATTTTCTCAGATTGCCTTGGTCAAGACTTTATTTGCAGTATCTGACTTACTGATATGCTGACACAAATTCAGCAACTAGATGCCACCAGTGACACAAATATCTTTAAGTGGCTCGTGGTCATCTGTAGTAAAAAAAAGTTTAAAAGGGAACTCTGTGGTTAAACGGTAACACATATTTTTAGCCTGGTACCATGTTAATAGATTTTATAGCAGCATAGGCAGCTGAGCTGAAGTACATGGAGACACCGCTTATTTTCACAGCTGGTGAAGTGCTGCTACTATTGCTATGTTTGGAACATAAATTATTCAGAGTGGTATATTACCTGAAACCTTCCATGAAGGATGTTTTTCCTAAGAAGGCTTGTTGAGCTTGTACATGGATTTCCTGAGCATGAAGCTGTTGCTCCAAGGTGTCTAGCCACATGGCGAAAAAGGAGAAAAGACCCAGGCAGTCCCCTGCTGCATGGCCGTTAAAGCTGACACCACGCCATGATGCTGGCTCTCTGCCATTACCATGACCATTTCAAGATGCAGACTGTTCCTGCTTCTGTGTTTGCGTAGGAGGGAGCAGAGGTTATGAGAACGAGTGGGCTTTTAAGCTCAGCTTCCTTATCAAACTGCTTGAGATTTTAAAACACACAGCAGAACAGTTAAACATAACTGCGCCTGTATTTGCATTGAAATACTCACTGAACACTTCTATATGGTTTGCCTTTTCCTGTTAGGCTCTGTTTGAATACTGCTGTTTGAATGCAATGCAGCGCTTGGTCTTGTGTGCATGTCCAGCGTCAGGATAACTTAAATAATTATTTCAAATCATTGTAGTCCTGATTGACTTGACAGAAAGCCACTTTATCTAAAGTTTATGGCACGTGAAGGAAACTCAAATGCATATTTAGAGAATGAGAATTAAGCAGAAAGCAAAAAAGCAGGAAAAAAAAGCAGATTTTTATGAGGTTTCTAATGATTCTGAGAAGAGCTAAGCTTCAATATATGTCCCCTAGCTGCACTAACCAAGATGACTACCAATCCAACAATTATTAAACTAAAATCTTCATCAATTTGCACAATAAACATTCACATTTATTTCCTACAACACTGTACATTGCATTTGAGTCAACTGTTGCTGTAAGGAGTGAAACAGAACATTTTTAGGCAGCTGGTAACAGGGTAGAAGGCCATGAGTGCAGTCTTTGACCTGATCCCCATGTTACAAAGAACAGGATATGAAATTCATAAGCAAGTAAAACTGAAGGAGGAGACAAGAACTGAGTATCACGGTCTGAGCTCTCCTTAAAATCACATCACCGCCCACTCGGGGAATGAAAGCAGTTCTGTCAAGGTTTGAGACGCAAACCTTTTAGCTGGGAAGCTTCTGCGCCCTAAGATGAGCCAGAAAAGAAGAGGACTTGTGCGGCTGAACAAGGAACTTTTTCTGAGATTCTGGGAGAAAATGAATTTATCCCCTGGGGAAGAAGGGACAGGCAACTCAGGGAGAGCACAAGGAAATTGCTAGGCTATGAAGGGAGAAAACTGGAAAGGCTAAAGCCCAGCATTAGCTCATCTTGGCCATTGTGATTAAGGACAACAAAAAACGTTTTTACAAATAAACTAATGGTAAGATGGGATTCACCCAAGGGTGATGAGGGAGCTGGTGGATGCGATTGCCAATATGCCTTCCACTGCCTATCAGTGGTCCTGGTCAACACGAGAGGTCCTAAATGACCAGAAATTTGCCAATGTGATGAACTAGGGAACTACAGGCCTGTCACCCCAACCACGGTGCCAGAGAAGATTATGGAACAGATTATCTTGAGGGAGATCTCACGGCAGGACAACTGGGGGATCAGACCCAGACAGCATGGGTTCATGAATGGCAGGTCCTGCTTGACCAACCTCATCTCCTGTGACCCGCCTGGCAGATGAGGGAAAGGTTGTTGATGTGATGTATCTGGACTTCAGCAAAGACTTCAATTACTGTCTCCCACAGTATCTTCCTTAAGAAGCTGGCATCATGTGGTTTGGACAGGTACACTCTTTGCTGGGCAAAGAACTGGATGGAAGGCTGGGCCCAGAAGGTGGTGGTGAATGGAGTTAAATCCAGATGATGACTGATAACGATTGGTGATCCGCAGGTGTTAGTACTGGGCCTGTCTTGATTAATTTCTTTACTGATGACCTGGATGAAGGAATTGAGTGCACTCTCAGTAAGCGTGTGGATGGTAGGAAGGCATCAGAGAGATCTGGATAGGCCAGTTCATAGGGCTGAGGCCAAGAAGATGAAATTCAACAAGACCGAGTGCTGAGTCCTGCTCTTTGGCCACAACAACTCCAGGCAACACTACAGGCTTGGGGCAAAGTGGCTAGCAAGCTACACAGAGGAAAAGGATCTGGTGGTGTTAGTTGACATTCAGCTGAATGTGAGCCCAGGTAGCCAAGAAGGCCAATGGCATCCTGGCTTGTATCAGAAATAGTGCAGTCAGCAGGACCAGGGAGGTGATCATCCCCTATACTCAGCTCTAGTGAGATACCTTGAATATTGTATTGAGTTTTAGGACCTCACTGCAAGAGGACATTTTGACGTTGGAGTGTGTCCAGAGAAGGACAAAAAATCTGGTGAAGGGTCTGGAGCACAGGCCTTATGAGAAACGGCTGAGGGAACTGGGATTGTTCAGTCTGGAAAAAAAGAGGCTTGGAGGAAATCTCATAGCTCTCTACAACCAACTGAAATGAGGCTGTGGTGACAGGACATAAGGCACTGGCTTCAAGTTGTGCTATTGGAGGTTCAGGTTGGATATTAGAAAGAATTTCTTTTCCAAAAGATTGGATAGGCACTGGAACAGGTTAGCCAGGGAAGTGATGGAGTCACCATCCCTGAAGGTGTAAGGCTAGGTGTAGTACCTGGGACACAGTTACTGGTCAATATTGGTCGGTAGGTGGACAGTTAGACTAGATGAACTTAGAGGTCTTTTCTAACCTTAATGATTCTATGCTTCTTCCAGATTTTCTGGGGAAGGAAAAGAAATAAAAACCTGTATGGAGCCAGGAAGACATACTGACTCCTTCCAAAAAAGAATCTGAGTACTAAGGATTGGCCAAGAGATTTGGGATTTATTTGGAAATTTGGTACACCTGCAAACAGTTCCAAGAAATTATGTAATAAAGACCGAATAAAATACATGTAATACACATATACTGTATGTCTGTATATAATACATATTATTTACATATATTTCACAAATGCACGCTGCATTGTAGGCATCTGCAGATAATAACACTATGATAAGCTATGCTATCACATTACTCTCATTAGCACTACTGCAAACACGCTTTTCATACTATAAGCAGAGCAATACTTACTAAAAAATAAATTAAGCTCATTGCCACATCTCCTCTGGATTAATTCACAAACTAATCTACAAATTAATTCAGGTTCATCTTCCTGCTGTCTCTTATTATTACTGAGGACTTAACATAAGTTTCTTCCTACATAAGTTACCAACTGTTACATAGAGTTCTTTTATTCTCTGGCACCAAAACGTAAAAGCTCATTACTTACATAATTTTAATCATAAAACATTTAGCAAATTATTTATGCACCTGCTGTACACTGCATTGAGCTGCACGATGAAGTGAGAAGATTTATTTTTTGGAATATGACACTAGTTGCTAAAACAGCATTAAAAGCTTTTCATGGCAACAAGGAAAAATGCTGTCTTACTTCCCTGAGTAATGACTCGGATGGAATAAATACATGAATTTTGCCCAGTGCCTGTGGCTGCTGCACTGCAGCTCCTCACTGACTGCAGCAGATGAACCTAATGTCACGCCAAGCTTTGCACAGCTATCAGAGGCTTGCCCTCAAGATCTTAGCTCAGATCCAGTCCTTGCCATGTCTTCCTATTGCTAAACTAAGTCAATACCTGCAGCACAATATCAGACGGTGGTAATGTGCACTCACAGGATCAAAACGCAGCTTCACAATAATGGGTAACAAAGATATTTCAATTTAAATAAGTAATGGAGAAAATGCTTTCAGGCATTAATTATTGAGGAAGCCACTAGAAATCTTTGCCTATCAGAAAAAATTAACTTCTTTTGCTTTCCTTTTCAAGCATACAAGCATTCTTAGTTTATTATCAGGAAGAAGTAAAAGCGAAGGGTGTAAGGTAGAGTTGTTGATAATAATATTAAATGTATTTTATAAATTAAAAGGGATTGCAATCCCTTCAGAAAGCTACTGGTAAGAAGCAGAGGAAAGGCACAGGTACAGAGAAATTCCAGTATCAAGTTCCTAGAAAATTAATGACAAATCACACAAATATTTTGTAGAAAATACAGACTAAACTATGTTTAGATAAAGTCTGTCATTTTCTACTCTTGGAATAAATCTTCTCATCATGAGCTTAAATATAGGAATATATTCAATTGTAGTTTAAACTCCCAATGAGGCTTTCAAGTTGTTGTTTTCAAAGGTATACAAATAATTTTAGAGGATGGGCTCATATTCCACTAGGAGAGGAATGAGAGGACTGTGCTCATCTTGTCAGCATGCCTATCTATAAAATAAGTACCAGGAAAACACAAGAGGTATCAGAAGAAAGACAGTAGAGCACAAGGCAGAAAGTGTGAAAGATTCAGGAAGATGCTACAAGGCAAAGATGCTTGTTTCTCACCTTGTGACCAAGAAAACAAACGGCTGCTAAACATAACCTGTCACAAAAAAGCATGTATAAAGGCAACACCCAGAGCAGGGCATCTGCTACCCAGCACTAGCAATTTTCTGATTGCCAGCGCTTTGCCTAATCACATCCTATTGCTACCACAAAGCCTTTAATTCACCCCAAATTCTTATTAAATGCAACCAGTGAACCTGTCTACCTGCTTTACTGTTATTATAGGTGCTGTAAGGAAACAAAACCATAATGTTTATGCTTTCAGGAAGAAAATATCTTTTTTCTGAAAAACAAGTTTTATTATTACAAAAGATGCTACGGGAAAAGTTTATTATTACAAGCTGTCAACACTAATAATTAGCTCAACAGAATTTAAGACACAAAGTTTCAAGAATCTGTATCCTCAGATTAAGCTACATAATACTAGAACATCACATACTAGAATATCACTTAATACTTAACATCACTTACACACTTTCTAATCATGCCATGAAAACTGGTATATAACATAAAGCTTATTATTTACAATACTGCGTAAAAAACGTTAAAAAAAAATCCAATCCATTTGTTTTCATTTCAGAAACATTCAAGCAACTTTGAAAGATGACACACATCCAATTGCAGGAAAGGAAGATTCCACAGGACAATGGGAAATGCCAAGGCTTCCCAACCATCTGTTTGTCAGACATCTCCTGCACTACCATCCCACATCTTTCAGAACCCATTTCTCATGCCTTCTTTAAAACCTTCCCCAGATAAACCATTTTCTTTTAATCTCACACCAAGTTCTAGTGCCTTTAGTATTACCCATCAGGCAAAAAGTCTCAGGATATGAAATGCTACTTCAAGCTGCATGTGCTACATGTGAGGTTTACATTTACTTCTTTTTTCTTTAATCACATACACAGTGTCTGTATATTTCTTTTTTGTTTTTGTTTTGTTCCTATTTTTTTTTCTGCAACTCAATTAGTTATAGATTTCATGGGGCTTTCCTCCCAGTTTTAATACAGCAAAGACTGAAAAACTGAAACAGTTTTACACTTTACTATTTTTAGAAGCATATTTGAATTCTTATGTGCATATTTTTGTAACTACGAGGATGAGAGAGCAGAGGAAAATATACTTTCTGATATATTTCAGCACAGCAAATGTAAGAATCTAATGCAGGGGGTGGAAAGGGCGAGGAAGGGGAGAGGAGGGAATAAACTTGAATAAAGAAACGCAAGGGAAAGAAGTAAAAGAGATGAGAATTAAAGCACCAAGCAGTACGTACAGGGGGACAAGATGTATTTACAAGGCAAAAGGGAAGGAAGAAAAGATGATGTAAAACATGGCAGAGATAACAGATTTATGAAGTAAAAAGTTTAAGGATGGTCACTTTTCAAAAAAGTAAAGGATGTATCGAGAAAAATGTGAATTGGGAAAGAGAACTAAAATAAGGCAGAGGTAGGTCAGTGAAGGCTCACAACTAAGATTAACAGATACTTTTGTGCATTTCCATAGCAGATGTTCTGTCTCCCTAAATTTAGACAAGACAATGAGATGAGTTCTTTTACTGAATTGGCAGGGTACTTCATTTTCGATTATGTGGTTTAATAATTAAATTGCCTTGGCTGGTACTGTATGTCTGAAAGCCTCTACGACGTTCTGTTACCTTCACTCTGGGTGCTGTGGTTATTGGAGATACTGCTTAAGATAAGACCATTTTTTCTACTTTCTCATTCATCTGTGCAATATTTTGCAGCAGAAACCAGTTTCGGGGTCCCTGCACTTTCTTCAGGTCCAGATCACAGCCACACAAAGAGGTAGGCCCTTCTGTTCTTCAAGTTTTCTTACTAACATTTAAACAAATATTTGATATTGATGTAAAAGACACAAAAACATGCTGATGGAATAAATCCAGTTTGATGGATACTACCGAGACTGTTGCTGACAGGAGTCCATCCAAATGTAGACGTACGTCTACATGAGGTTTACAGATGTCACTGTGAATTCCTTAAGAAAAAAGACAATCAATTTATTTGTTTCTGCATTTAACTTAAACCAGTACTCTTTGTCTGTAATTGCAGAACTCTAGATATCATGCTCACAGTGGACCACTGCATCCCACGCTGCTACTGCTAGCACAGGTGTACCCGGAAAGCACTGATCTGCGTCCCCAGATGTGTTATGCTAACAGCTTTTGACTACACACATTGCTACATGCTAGATCTGTATTTAAAGCTCAAGTGGGAAGCAAGCTCACAGGGTTTTACCCTGAATGCCCATCGTATTGGCCAGAGGTTAGCAGACCAACTAAGTGTTACAATTGGTAATGCCTGAATTTCAGTAGTGTTGCTACCCACAGATTGCAGGTTTCTTAGAAAGTTTATGTTAGTAAGCAGAGACATTTAATTTACTACTGTCTATAGCTTAACATTTGATAATAAAATATAAATTAAAGAGAAAAAAAATGATCTTCTCCCCATCTCTGAAAACCATGGCAAGCCTCAGGCTCTAGGACACACTGTCCAAACTTAAAAATCTGTCTGAAGACTTCCACTGTAAATGATCAGAAGAGTTGTCTAGGGAATTCTTTTCTTCTCCCAACGAATATGAGTTGTGATTATTCTTCTAAAGCACAAAGCCATGCTAGAACAGATCTCTCTCATAAAGTAATTAAAATTAAATTAAAATAAAAAAAAATATTGTATTCTGTAATTGAATCACTACTAATCACAAACATTACTACTAATCACAAACAGGTTTTGACTTCATTCTACATTTGCATAAAATAACAAGAAATGTTAAGACAATAAACGAATAGGCCTGCACAGTCAGGCTCATCAGCAGATACGATGGTAAAATACACTAAAAATGTAATGAATGCAGGAATATTCAATTATATTATTGCCCAAAGACAGGAAAAAAAAAAAAGTGAGAGATCTTTTATCAGACAAGGATGCATAAGAAAATAGAAATGCAGTACTGAGAGAGCTCTTATTATTTATAAAGACATGTATAAAAACACCGGAAGCTAGAGTAGCAAGTAGGAGGAAATTATGTACAACACCTATCAGATGGATACCAAAATGCTGCGTCCAATTTTGGTCTTAAGAAGGATCCAAAGGAGTAAGATGTCTGAGAGGTGGGATAGTTAAAGAGGAGCTGTGCAAACTGCCTTCTGACCCCAATCTGCATGTTTCTGTGAGTTGAAAGCCGTTTTGTGCTTAGTCACTTTATTTTACCCCACTCCTTGTAGCTGGGAAGAAATTACAGGACAGCGAGCATTTGAACGTTGGCTTTTCTTCCAAAGGTTGAGTTGATTCATGCACAGGTAGCATGCAGACCATACTCTCACAAGGACTGGGGACCCAGAGGAAGAACATGAAGGAATTTTCTGCACCTTTAGAAAGCAGATCTGAAGGAGAAAGTGCTGCTCTCTCTGCCCTTTGCCCTACTGGATATCAGTCTGTACAGCTTACATTAGATAATACGAAACTATGACTTCCCCATTCAAAACAAGTGACCTAGTATCTCAGCTAGAAAAGGGATGCTCTATTGTATCTCTCAATTACTCCTGCTTTTCATTCTGTACATGGTTTGACAGAGGAAACACAGTACTCCATTTCTGATAAGACACAAGGCTATAAGGATGAAATAGCCGTTATTATTTACCAAACAGCTGGCAAGAGCAGTTACCAAACAGACTCTTTTAAAAGAAGAGTGACTGTCTGGCGTTAGTGATTAATTTCTAAGGAATGGGAATGGCAAGGAAGTTCCTATTTTAGCAGTGGAGTCCTAGTGAAAAATAGAATTCATAGAAGATAGAGGAAAAAAAGAGGGCAAAAAATACCCAAGCACTGAGCCAAACAGCCCATTCAACTTACTGCCTGCAACTTGGCTAAGGGGAATACAGAGCTTGCATGCATTGAGTCCCAAAAGCAGGATGCCAACCTCTGCTCCCACATCAGCCCTCAGTACACAGGCATGCAAAAAGCACTGGTAGTGCAGCCATTTGCTGCAAGTGGGCTGAATGTCAGCCAAAGGAGCGCCGAGACATGCAGGGCAACATCACTTCCAGCTCTCAGGCACCAATGGTTGCACAGAAAGGTTTTAGGGAACTGATGTTGCTGTGTAAAACATTATATTGTTAGTAGCATCACTAAACTTCACTATGCCCAGCTCCTAGGTCAGGCTTCAACAATGAGGGTAGAGCTGAGTCTGTTTGCTTTCTGACCTTTTTTTTCACACTTTATAACTGTGCCCACTGACTAAAAAAAAGCTTAAAATCAATTTAAATGTGGTCAAAGGAGCTTAGAATATAAGGTGACTCTTTAACTCCAGATTTAAAAAACACAAACCAAAACCAAATCCACTATATGCTGCAGAATAAAAACCTGATATACTGCTGTAACCACATGAAAAAATACAATTCTGACTGCTGCAAAAACACTATTTCTGTCTGACTAGCTTCCTGGCACAATCAAAGCTTTCTACCAACGTATTGCCAGAGAAAACTCTTGAAGGTCCATTGTAACAGACAAGCTCAAGTCAGGAAAAGATAAAGAATTAGAATAATTATGGCAGCAGATTAAAAACTCTTCTGTGGAGCAGAATTATATTAAAAAAACAAAAAAACAAAAAAACAAAGACCTTGATTGAGCACTAGAAAACTGGGACCAAATATCTTTAATTCACAGCAGAAACCCCCTCAACGCCACAGGAAACCTGCCCCTGCTGAAGTGTTTAGAGAAAAGTTATTTAGGTTGCATAGAACTGCAGCGATAAGCACTGCTTTGTTGGAAAAGATGATACCGATCATTTCCTGGATAACATTCCACTCTACCCTTTTATTCTGTGTTGTATCACTGTTAATTCATACCCAATAAGGAAAAAAGCCTGAAAAGGTCCAAAATCAACACACTGAAAGCGGAATAAAATGGCCACTACATCTTAAAGTTACTGTTCAGAAGGTTCACTCTCCATCACTGGGATGGAAAATTACTTATTTTAGACAAATCTCTTCATTCTGCAGAACTTGAACTTGTCACAAAGGCAACAGAAACCTGTTGTGTGAGTGGACCAGGATTCCCAGAATATTATTTTGCTTCCTTGGATCAACTTGTGTATGTTTAAATATCATCCAGAATAAACAACTAAACATTATCATATTAACTGTAACTAATAGCAGCCCTTTTCAACTTAAAAATAGACAACCCAAATTAGCAAACTTCACGTGTAAGAATAAAAGATCCAAGAAAATCTTCCTACATTGCAGACCATCCTGCTGGAAAACTACTAGTGTGGTTCGTTGTCCTAGACGGATCTCTAAACAACTACATACTGAAGGGAAAATCAATTACAGCTCAGTCTGTCCACAAGAAATCAATCCTTCTACCTAACAACCAGCCCAGCTATCTTCAGTTTGGAAAAAGTGCCTAGGTCAGGGTAAGCAACAGGTAACTTCCAACTTCTACATCACATGCAGAATCCTACAGTCATGCAATGCACACGAGCACTCAGCAGGTCAGACACCGGCCTGAAGAAAACAGTCTGATTTTCAGGGAGACCACTGCTGGTTGCCAGGAAGTGTCCCTTTGATTCTGGCTTTGACCCTTGACCCTGAGCTAACAGGAGATTTTTTCACTTTACCCACCAGAAGTCGGGAAAAAAAAAACTCGAACATCCTGATACAGAAAAAAACTGCCCAATTTCCTGGAAGTAATTCCTTCCCAAAATTGTGTTCTAGATCTTAACAGATGGTCTGCTCTCTAAGCTCACACATAGTGCACCTGTCTCATTAAAATATGTTATTTTAATTAAGTTTCCTTGGCTACAAAGTTGAACAAGTGTATCATACTCCACAAGTAGAAGTTAACTTTGCCATCATATCTAGTGGCTTGGCCTACTACATTGACCCTGTCCACCCTTGTTGTGTTGTGATTTATAAGAAGGGCAGTAAAGAGCAAAACCCTGTCCCTGCATCTGGAATACATCTAGCAGTCCAGGTCCCAGTCTAATAAGAGACTTTGTATACTATCAAACAAAAAGTAAAGCCACCTCAGTGCTCAAATTACATGATGGCCATAAAGGATACGTGACAATGCTGTTTACCAACAACGGTTCCGGAGAGAACATCAGGCACTGACTGACTTCTGCATTAAGAGCTTTGATTTCAAATGGGGGTTGTGGATGCCCCATCCCTGGAGGCATTCAAGGCCAGGCTGGATGTGGCTCTGGGCAGCCTGGTCTGCTGGTTGGCAACCCTGCACATAGCAGAGGGTTGGAACTGGATGAGCATTGTGGTCCTTTTCAAGCCAGGCCATTCTGTGATTCTATAAATAAATTCATTTGAGTGAGATGACTTCTACATCCCTGGACTGAAACAAGAAAGATTTGAATAGCAGCTCACGTAACCAGTTGTGACTTGAAATCATGGACATCCACATGTCCCACAGCACCAAGGAACCACTGCTGTCCATGAAATGAAAAATGACCTTTAAAGCAGACTTCCAGGTCTGAGATTTGATATAGCTTTGGCTCAGATCTGCTGCCTCATTCACAAAGAATAGTGTCTACAATATTTATTTCTAAGATTAAATACTAGCCTCATTAAAGTCACTGGAAATTTCACCAGTGGCTTCAGAACCCATGTTTTACCCAAAATGAACCAGGCAATCACATACTCTGCAGAAAAACAGAGGTACTGAAAAAACATTCAGCCCTGAACCACCTCCAGCTTGCTCCAGATCACTTTCAATTCCTTCTGAAATTGCCAGAGTGGAGGTGGCCGAGTGGCTCTTCTACTTGCCTGCTTATGACTTCTGCAAGCTTCACTTGGGGCTAACTCTTCTGAAAGTTTGGGAAGATGTACGTAATAAATAATACGTCTACCTGACTGAAGAGTGCATTTCCAAAAAGAGACCCAAAAAACCCTGAATGTTTGCTCATGTTTTTCTAGTATGGCTCCAGAAAAAAAAACAAAAAACAACAACAAAAAACAAAGGAACCTTTTAACAGCGTGTTTCACAGGTTACATTTTTCTAATACAATTTTTATTATGTAATTCCAAGCCTTGGGAAATTCATCTGTAATTTTTTTTTTTTTAAGTACTTCTCATTCTGAATATAAATGAAAACACTTAGTACTGCTGTGAAATCAACAATCTCCTACTTCTTATATGATAAGCAGACCTCTGTTTATTAAGTATCAAGCAGTCAAGTTTCATGCCGCAAGAGCTGTGTGAGTAATTCCTCCAAGTTTTTCTGGAAGGCAGCGCTGCAGTGCCCTGGACAGGCAGTCATTCTTCTAATCTACTGGTGTCCGTACCTCATGAGCTTATGAATGGGAGCTCCTTTACAACTAAAATGAATGAACTATACACACAAAGAACATATCAGCCAGACAAACAACAAATAGCTCAATGAGATCTGACTGCAATATTACAGCAAAGACTTGACTCGCAT